CCACCCTGGCATTTCAATGGCAGGACCGAAGTAAACAAGCCAGCAGGGCGATTGCTTGTTTGCAGAGGTTCTGACAGTGGGTGGCGCTAATTCTAAGGGGCAACATCGGATTTCAAAAAAGATTCTCAACAGCTTTGAATTGGCTCAATGCTGAAAATATCTATTTGGAAACTGGGGCAAGCTGGGGGACCTTTGGGAGCCAAGGGATACACCCAACATTCTGGAGCGGAGTGAGAGCGTCTGAGGGCAGGGATATGATACAAACGTAGACAGGAAGAGGATATGGGAATTTTGAAGAACTACACCCTCTTCTAAGCTTACGCTACTGGTTTTGTATTTTTTCAGTCTCTAGATGGCACGAAACCTTGGGGTCAGTTTCCTGCCATGGTGAGCAGAAACGTCAAATGCATTATTGGAAGCTCAGCTTGTTCATCCTGTTACAGACTATTCTGACTGCAATCTACTGACGAGGAGGGAGTAACTCATTCACAAGGAAGAAGAGACCCTCTTCCAGATTACCTCGACTTTCCCAGTCTTAACAGCCAGTTTCAGAGGGGTTAGATGGTATCGGTTGACGATCTCTTCCAACTTCCACGAAGGGTTGATCTCGGCCCCTTTCATAAGGATCATGTCGTACATATTGACCACAAACTCCGTGTTCTTCTCCGTATCATCGGCCACCATCACCAGCGCATGGAAGACAGTGTTTCCCATGGAATCCTGTTCGGTCAGTCTAGCCTTCTGGTGAGGGTTATCCAGGAGGTACATGACCACTTCAGGCTGGTTGGTACAGGCAGCCAAGGAGAGAGGAAGCTCACCTGGAAGAGAGGGATAAAAAGGGTGTCAAGGTTGCATTGAGTGTCCATGTTGTACCCTGGAGAGGGAGGGTATGAAATCCCCTATGCTGAGACAGTATGATGGAAACAAGGGCATCTTGGTCAAAAAAGTCAAGGTGGCCACCACGGCCTTGCCACAGAAGCCTTGTGATGCACGTAAAATGCAACGCGCATAAAACAGTAAAACTTTGTAAAAAAGGTACAAGACTTCTCTCGCAAGTCAGGCCTGCCATCTTGACTGTTTTGACCCCACCTGGGACACCCGATTGAAAATTACTTCCCCTCCACCAGTAGGAACCCCTGAGGATCTCCAACTTGGTTATAGTAAAGATTTCTATTTTCTCTTCGATTTTCCGCTATTTAAAGAGCACTGTGACTCTTGCAGGTTTAAACTCGAGCAGTTAGAATATATTCCCCAAAATGGAAGGCTTAAAAACATGTATTGTTGGAGGTTTTTTCCCCCCAGCAAGCTTTTGGACTACAACCCTTCTCCAAAAGATAGCCCTCTCTATCTGATAAGGCCCGGTTGACATGTTGGGAGCGTGGGTGTCTGTGGGAGGGGAGGGTGTTGGGTGTTGATTATTTACTTATTTATCAATTCATGATATTTATGGTTGTGAGTCACCCAGAGTTGTGTTTCCTAAGATGAATGGCCATATAAATATTTTAAATAAAAAAATAAAGGGGGTAAGTGGTGTGACACGCATCTTGACGTCACTGTGCAAATGATGCAAATTGATTTAATTTGCATCATTTGCACTATGACATTCTGACATAATTCTGTCTTGTGCTGGGCATCTACGCAGGTTGTCCTCATTTAGCGACCACAACTGGGACAGCAACTCCATCGCTAAGCGCCACGGTCGGTAAGTGAAACATCACATTACCGCGACGGGCTTACAACCTCACTTCCCTTTTGGTTGTGAAGCAAAATGTCACATGACTGCAACTTACGATTTTACTTCTGCCTTCTCTATTAACTCTGCTTGTCACAAGCCAGTTGCGAAGCACATAAATGACGATCACGCGACCGCAGGACACTGCGACATCGTAAATGCAAGGATTGGTCACAAAGCTATTTTTTTTTTTAACTGTTGTAACTTTGAACAGTTGTTAAACAAGGCAGTTGGTAAGTGAGGACTGCATGTATTGGGCAAACATTTCATACCATTTACTAACGCACTGTTTCTCAACCTTGGCAACTCGAAGACGTGTGGACCTCAACTCCCAGCATGGCTGGCTGGGGAATTCTGGGAGTTGAGATCCACATGTCTTCAAGTTGCCAAAGTTAGGAAACACAGTACTAATATAATCTGGTGTAACATAGGTTGAAAATCAGCCAAATTTTCTCCCCCTCCCACCCCTTTTCTGGCTTCTAACTAGAACCACCTTGCCCAACAAAACGTTCTTGGAAACTCAAAGCTTTTCCAACTGTCTGTAAAACTTCACTTGGCCCTAAATAACTCTGTGGGCTACCCACTTGTGCCTCTGCGGAACGCAAACTGTGTTTTGTCCTGCTGGCATACCGAAATAAAAGCACATCCCTTTGTTCTGCTTCTGGAAGAAGTACCCAGAAGCCTTGGCGTGGACATCAGCCCCGTTCTCCACCAGGAGTTCCACAAGATCCAGATTCCTCTTCTCGATGGCAATGTGGAGGGCTGTGTGGCCTGCAGAGAGGGGAAAAAATGGCACAAGAGAAAGATGGAAGGGCTACCAGGGGTATGGTCAACTGCCCAGAGTCACTTCCTCGTGAGATGGGCAGTGACCAAAACTGAAATACAAATTAAATAAGCAAATGGTCAAAAACGTCAAGATGGCAGCTGCCAGAGGGCAATCCAAGCTCCAGCTGCCATTTTGACCTTTTTTTACCGTACCCTGAATGAAGCCATTCCCTCCAACTACCCTGCATTTCCAAGCTTGGGGTGGGTTTCAAGAATCCTCTTAAGGTCTTCTGTAATGGTTGCTGCCATCTTGACTCTTATGACCACAGCCCTGGCTCTCCCTTCAGAAATGCGCTCGTCCCAGCTGAGAAATGTGTTCAGTTTATGGCATTTATTTAGCAAGCTGGCAAATTTGCAATGACTTTCTTGCCTTGGTGCCAATGGAAAGTATGGCCAGATATATTAACGATGGGGGAATCAGGCGTGCCTGTGAAAATGACTTAGGAAAATGCCTGCCGAAAGCATTTGCAAAAAAATGCGAGCAGAGGGATGAGCAACTTTCCTGGAGAAAAACAAGGCACACTCAGATCCAAAACATGCTCGCAATATTATGAGATTTCAGCAAACTGGAAGAGGAGAATTCTTCTGCTGGCTTTTCATATGGCACTTAGACCTGGTTCTGCACCCAGGCCTGGGAACCCAAAGGTGTCAAAAGGCTCATCTCCTGGCTGTGCTAGCAACTGTTGATCGTGATACCTTCCTTGGCTGCTACACATTTTAATTTTTGTATTGTCGGTTATAATTGTTTTAATTTTATTTTAATACTGTTCGCTGTCCAAAGTCGCTTGTTGAGATGGGCGGCTGTAGAAATGGATGAAATAGATAAATCAATGAGTAAACATCCCCCAAATGAGTTGGCTCAAACATTAAGGGGGTTCCATATGATCTTGCAAGATTTTAATGACGTGATGAGGATGAGGATGAAGATGAGGATGAGGATGAGGATGAAGCAGAAGTATTCCAAACTATTCCAATTGCAACCTACTTGCCAGCCACCCCACCTTCCCACGGGGAGCCTTACCTCTATAGCAGTCGTCACAGCAAGCAGTGTTGATCAGAGGCTTAGGGTTCTCAGTCTCCTCATCTATCTTCAAGAGCAAAGGGATGGTGGGGTTCTTCCCATCTTTCAAATGGAGCAAGGCCTTCATCAAACAGGTCTTGCCCGTCTTCCCATCTGGAAGACAGAAATCCAAGAAAGGGTAGTTTGATTATAGCTTTCTGCTGGAACGTCATCCATCTTCCAGATGCTTTCTAGGTTAGCCTTTCCTGTCTTGGCATTCTCCAGACGCGGTCAGGGTCCTCCTCCCATCACCCAGACAGCAGAACCAAGTGGTTGGGAGGATGGGAACCGTAGTCCAGCCCCATCTCTCTGGAAAGGCTCACACTGGAGAGGATCAGCAAACGGATTCTGTTTGAAGAATTTGGAGAACGTGGGAATTGAGGCACCCATTACTACTAACATCATTGGAGGGTGTTTGGGCTGAACTGCTGCCAGATCAAGATGCATAGCCTAACCAAGACCAAGCAGGATTTGCGGGCACCTGCAGCCCAAACCAGTTGCGCATAAAAACATTTTGTAATTTTGCACATACGGGGTTGTTGTTCGACTCCTCCAAATTTACAGGCCCTAACAGGACAGACTGAAGGAACTTGGGATGTTCAGTCTGGAGAAAAGAAGATGGAGGGAGATATGATAGCCATGTTCAAATACATAAAGGGAAAGCTACAAGGAAGATGGTCCCACACTGTCAGCCTTACCAGGTAGACCAGACAGGAAACGTGATCAGATAAGCTAATTTTACTTTATTGTAAAGCTACATTAACAGAATCATGCAAGTCTGAAAGTACAATTCTCCCGCCGTCTCCTTTACAGCCTGAGAAACTAGGGAGGGTCCCTTCTGAGCCTCTTTCTCCTCCCATTATGCAGCTGAGGGCTCGGCTCCCTCTTATCTGACTGCTCCCTAGGCAGCATCTCTTTGCCCCGTCTCGCAAGTTCTTTCCCACATACCATTACACAAACTATTTCTCATGGACACAGAAACCAGGACCAGAAATAGTGGGTAGAAGACACAACCCCCTAGATTTCATTTATATATAAGGGAAAACTTCCTGAAGATAGCATCTGTGCAACAGTGGATGAATCTACCTATGGAAGTGGTGGGCTCTCCATCTCTGGAGGTTTTTAAGAAGAGACTGGACAGCCACCACCTCTCTGGGAAAGCTGAATTGTTTTTCCTGCACACTGCAGAGGGTTGATGATCTTCCAACAGTTCTAGGACTTCTGTGATATTCTGTGGAGCCCACAAACGGTTCTATGAGGCTTGCCAATTTTTTACACTGATGAAAAGAAACAAGAGACAGCAATCTACCTCGATATTTGGAGTCAGTGAGAAAGCTGGATGTTCTCCGCAAATAATCCTGTAAGCCATTGAGCAATTCAGGTTTCCCCTCTACCACAGCATCAAAAAGCCGGTTCCTGTCAAAATAGTTTGGGTCATCGGGCCTGCAGAGGAGAAAGGAAAGGAGTCAAGATGGGACTCAGTCCTTCAGCCCTTTGGCTGGTCAACGGTGCAAGAATAGGGCCATGTTAAAGGACTATCCCCCAGTCGGCGCGCTAAAAAAGCTATTTCTCTATTAATTGGGTTGCAATCATAGAGGTTCAGGAATGAAGGGGTGAGTGGTGCTGTTCTGACTGCTTCAGTGCAGGACAAGTGAAGGAAAGCGAGCAGGGGGTTCCCCAGGATTCACTTCCCCTCCGATTGAGGATCACTTGCTAATGGGAAGAGCAACCAGTTCTTAACGGGGTGGGGTGGGGTGGGTCTGGGTGAGCGTCGCGGGAGTTTTGACGCAAGCTTTGCCACTGGTCAAGTGGCCTACATTTATTTTGATATCTATGCTGCCTTTTGTACAGAAACTCAAGTATATAGTGTATCCCGCCTCCTACTTTTCTCCACAACAACCACCCTGTAGGTTGGGGCTGAGAGACAGGGATTGGCTTAAGATCCCCTGGGGAGCTTTCACGGTTGAGGAGAATTTGAACCTGGGTCTCCCCACTAGACCAGACTGAGTGAGGCTGAAAGGGAAGGACTGGCCCAAAGACCCCCGGGGAGCTGAGGAGGGACTTGAACCCGGGTCTCCCCACTCCTAGTCTGTCACCTTTCCCACCATGCCACCCTGGCTGTCACACGCTGAACTCACACTCTTTCTGAACACGGGTCTAGTGCTGTTCAGAAGGAGTGCTAAACCCACTTCCAAAAATGTCCAGCTGGGAGGAGACAGGCATGGTGGAGAAACATGGGGTGAAGGGAGAAGGAGTGATCCAAAATGAGGGAGCTTCATCTTCCAGGGGGGCTCCAAGGGAATCACAGTGCCAGCAGTGACTGGTCATTCCTGGGAGGACCTGAAAGTTGCCTGTGGAGTAGGCAAAAGGGTGTTGCCGCCTCACACCAAAATAATAAAAATGGCTCTTTGCTATCTAAAGAGCTCCCCAGAAAGACCATGGGTTCATCCACAAGTCCCCCCCTCCACTGCAGGAGCACGCCCCGATAACCATTCTTTATGCTTCGTCTCATTCGCAGACCAGAGTGGTAGCAGCTTCACGTTTGTCTGCGGGGCTGGCCTGAATGTTAGGCAATTAAGAGTTTTGTTTTATGACCTTATTCTTTGATTGGTGTTCTTTTATTTCTTTGAGCAATATCGACAGTGTGGCAGTCCCTGCCTGCAAAATTCTAATTTGTAGGACATGACACACAAGGAAAAGGAGGTGGGGAGGGAGGAGGAATAAAGCAGACGTTGGCACCACTTCATAAAATTCCGAGCTGGGTTGAAAACAATTTAGGTATTCTTGACGGAATAGTTGCCAACCGGATGGAGTTGAGGGATAATTGCCACCTGTTTCTTTCTAAATGGATTGCATTTGTTTTCTTTGACTGTGTTTGCACGTTGCTGTACAGGACTGCCAAGCAACACATAAGCATTTGATAGAGATAAATGCAACGTTTTTTCTCATCACGGAAATCTGCAAAACAATTCCCGCTGCTGCCACTGGATCCTTCTGGGAACAACTTACCCTATGACTCCTGGTCGATAATTCAGGTTCACCGCAATCTGGGGGGGGCGAGGGCTTTCCCTTTGGAAGGGGGTGTCCAAGGGTCGCATGCCATGCTCCGTCCCAGCTGCCCCCTCTGCAGCCACATTCCCATCTCCTCCAAGGCCATCATCCGTCTCCAGGACAAACGGGGTTTTCTTCATTGCCCGGGTCAAGAGGCTGGCAGGGTGAAAGTGGCAAATACTCGTCAGCCTTCCCAGGTAGACCAGACAGGAAACGCGACCAGATGAGCTAATTCTACTTCTAAGCCTACTCTCTAAGGCTACATTAACAGAATCTTGCAAGTCTGAAAGTACAATTCTCCC